CACACACACACACACACACACACACACACACACACACACACACACACAATGCCAGAAGTCACAACAGCAGGAAGTGCAAAAAGCTTCAGTGTAACTCAGTATAAGAAGACAAATTAAATACGGCATGCATTTATACCATATAATCATATTAAAAATATCAATATAGAACATAAAAAAATGAGACTGATCCCAAACACGTACTCAGAGAACTAAAAGACAGATCAAAATGTTCATGCAAAATTTAGCCTTTTACTATTTGCGGTCACTCTATCTGTCTGTTAGCAAAATATCTTGTGAAGCACTGGATGAATTGTAATAAAACTGTCAGTGATTAATTCCTAAATCTACGCCAATAACTGATCAACTTTTGGAGCCGGCCCAATCCAAGACGGCCAACGTAATCAGCTCGTCTTAGGAAACACAAAACTGGGTSTAATTCAGTTAACTTTACAGATGTTGAGCTGAAATTTGGTGCTGTTTTAGCTGGGAGTCATTCACAGATATACGGCAAATGTTCATCATTGTGCAAGCTCTTTGATTAAAACTTCAGCATTTAATGTTGAGTCAGCCATGATTGTCTGTTAGCAAAATATCTCATGAATAACTGGACAAATGTTAATGAAACTTTCAGTAAATAAWKTTTGGATGTACATCTACAACTGATTATCTTTTAGAGTTTGGCAACCACTGTTAATTGACATCACCCACCACACAAGTGACTTTAACTCAGTCAGTTTTATAGATATTGAGCTAACTCTTGTGCGTTTAGAAAACTTTAAAAACATTAAAATGGTTAGAAATAAAGTCTTATTAAACTGAAACCTGGCCTGTCTGCTTATATGTTTGTACTGTAAATGTGGCGGATGTAGATTTATTGAAACTGGGTTTTGTGGCACAGCGGTGAGGAAACAATGTTTTGTTCTCRACAAACAAACACACGACTTGTCTTCAGCCCTGTGTTTTAAACCTCTGAGCTGTTTGTTTCACATGAGCTTTATTTCACATGGTTTACTTTATCTCTCCGTGACTGTGTCGAGTGTAAACAAGCAGGCAGCGATAAGCAGAGCCCTGTGTGTGTGTGTGTGTGTGTGTGTGTGTGTGTGTGTGTGTGTGTGTGTG